TTATGTTGTTATTTTCTAAACTGATGATTTAATATCAAGGGTATTATTGAGGATATTATTGGCTTGTTTACCTTCCTGTCAACCCCAAATAATGAATCATTTATTAAAAAAGATTAAAAGAGTCATCAGTCCCTTGTTAACAAGATTGCAAGTTAAAGTCAGATTTTGGGTTGTTGGTCCCTAAATGAGCCTCACCAGAGACTGTTCCCTTGGGGACACAACAATTTTCCAATCCTAGAGCTGGTGACCTCCCTCCCCACTGTGGGTGGAATCCACCCTGGAAGCTCCCTCTGGCCTCCTCAACATCAAAATTCCAGCCTGGAGCCATCACCATGGCATTTCACCTTTTTTTCTGCAAAAATGATCACATTTTTGACATTTCACTTCCCTTCCTTTCAGAGTCTTCCCACCTTTTCTGACCACGGGGAAAGGTTGTGACCATTCCCTGCACAGATGTTTCTGGCTCTGGGGAAGGTCTTCCTGCTCTGTGAGGGCATTCCAGTACTTCCCATGCTCATCACCTTTGCTTCCCTCACTCTCATTGGATCTTGGACTCGATTCCAACCTCTACCAGGTTGTTCCATGCTGCCCCAGAGATCCTGGTCTCCATTTTATCTACTTGCGTCCTCCTTCCTTTACAAATAAAATTCCTCTGTGGCAGCAGAGTTGTTCCTCCTGCTCTGGAATTCTGCAGTCCATCAGCTGCTTCCTTCCATTTGTGTTTTGGAGAAGCTCCTGATGGAGTGACCCAGTGATGGGTCCTGTTCCTCCTTATCTGCCCTGTTTGGAGTGTCCAGCACTGTCTCTTCTCCTCCCTCCATCCTCTGCCCTGGATCCTGCCAATTCCAACAGAATTCTAATGCTTCTATAAAACACTGCCATTAAACAAAGGCAAAAGAAGATATCCCCCCACCAAAATCATTCCCAACCACCTGAGCTCTGTCTGTCTGCACAAGAAAAATCTCTCCCATTTAGGGCCTTCCCAGACCCCCTCCAGTTACAGTTTTCTCACAAGGAAGCTTCACTATTTACCACAAAGTGTTGTGAATTCATGGAATTAAAAAAAATTCCCGATAGGGGGATTTTTTCTTGTGGTTTTATAGCAACTTCCAGTCTCACCCAGCTCTAGGTCTGTGTGAGGGAAATTCCATCTGATCTCCCTGTCCTCTAAATGATGGATATGGGATTCACTTTAGAATATCTGTATCATTAGGACAATATATTCTTGCAGCTGGGAAACCTCAGGCTTAAAATAAAAATAAATAAAATAGAAATAAAAATACTCTCAGCTTTGGGAGAATACCGATGTTTCACCTCTTGTTCTGCAAAAAACACAAGGTTTCTGAAATTTCTCTCTCTTTTTTTTTCCTCTTCTCCAAGTCCTTGCTGCCTTCACTGACCACACGGAGAGGTTGTGGTTATCCCAGGGAAGGAGTGGGGGAGAAAAGGAAAGTCTGTGGGCTAAAAGCATTTTTATGAGTCTGTGTCATCCCAGCCCCAGTTCCAGGTGACTGAGGGCCCTAATTATGCAGGAACTTTGGCAGCTGGAGATCAAGATCTCTCTCAGTGCTCATTTATCTCCTTCATTGGGGCAGTTATTAAATTTAAATACTGGATTTCTTAATGTGCTACTGTATGGCTCTGGCAACAGTCAAAAGTGCATTGATATCCTTATTTATTCACTCTGTTCTGACAGCAGGGCTTGCAAAGATCCTTCTTTCCTTATTTTATATATTTTTATAATAAAGATCCTTATTTCCTTATATTTAGGATTTGGTTGTGCAAGACACCCTCAGGATTTTAGTAATTTTAGGTTTTGTGTTTTCTGTAGTTCTTCCTTCCCCCCCCCCCCCTTTCTTTTAGTTCTTTTTATTTCTATTTTCTAAAGTGTTTATGGCTGGTTCGTCTCTGGAGGTGCTCAAGGACAGGTTGGATGGGGCTTGGAGCTACCCGTCTGGTGGAAGAGAGATCCTTCCAGTACCTAAAGGGGCTCCAGAAGAGATGTCCTGGGACAAGAGCCTGGAGAGAAAAGACAAGGGAGAATGGCCTCCCACTGCCAGAGGGCTGGGATAGGTGGGATATTGGTAAGAAATTCTTCCCTGTGAGGGTGGTGAGGCCCTGGAATGTTTTTCCCAGGGGATCCTTCATTCCTGGAGGTGTCCAAGGCCCGGTTGGACAGGGCTTGGAGACCCTGGAAGTTGTTCCTGCCTGTGGCAGTAATGGGATGAGCTTTAAGTTCCCTCCCAACCCAGACCATTTCATTACCTTATTTTGAGCTTATTTAGATGATCCTATGGGGATGTTGAGGTGTTTCCTTGAGTATCCCCCTGAGATCTGGGATTTATTAGTCCCATTAGGGTTTGAATTGAATGTGGATGGAGGTGGATGAAGGTGGTGGAGTTTGGCAGCTTCCTGCCCCAGTTGTGCTAAAAAAGCTCTAAAAAAAAGCTCTTAGAGGGTTTGCCTCTAAATTTCTGGATGTTTCCAACATGTCCATCCTGGTGCTCTCCTGGTTCCGTCATTGTCCACAAAATGTCACACTTCTGTCACTATCTCAGAGGCTTTTCCATGTGGGAGGAACTTCCCCATCTTCTCCAAGTGCCCCACGGACTGCTTCAGATGTGCATGACAACACATGGGCCCGCAGTCCCTGCTCCAACAGCTGTACAAGTGGCCCAGCAGACAATTTTAATGGATCAAGTTTTGGGATGCAATTTAAATTCATCCTTAAAATCCCAAGACAAAGAGCCAGGTTGAACCTGTGGTTGTAACACTCTGATCCCGTGAAAACCCATCTCCCTGGGAAGGATGATGAATGAACCAGTGATTCCTTTGTCCCAGCTATGTCAGAAAGAGGAAGGAATGACAGGAAGCTCCCCCTTAATCTACAGGATGCATGGACATCTCTTGGGATGCATCCCTGTTTCTGGAGCCAGCTTGACTGGTCCAGGTGTGGTTGAGATATGCTGCCAAGGCTGATCCAGTGCCAGCTCCGATCACAACAGCTGCCCACGCTCTGGATTACGGCACGTGGGGTGGGATGACTGCTCTCCTCACTCCAGCTCTGGGCTCCAGCTGCCATGGAAAGCTCTGAATTCATGCTTGGTTTGCCTCAGCTGCTGCACAGGGAGGGACACATCTCTCACTAATGTTTCACAGGGAGTTGTGGCTGCTCATTCTCTGGGGTCACAACACTTCCTTCCATGATCCATAGGGATTACCTGGAGCGTTGCCCAGCACAAGTCCAGAATTAGGCACTCACAAAGTGGGAAGAGGAGAGGTGGAGAGGGGAATCGTATTGGAGCCACTATCAGCCCTTCAGAATCAAAGAATCATTTAGGTTGGAATAATCAAGTCCAATGTTTCCCCTTGGCACTGCCAAGGCCACCATGGACCATGTCCCTAGGTGCCACATCCACACATTTCTTGGACACTTCCAGGTATGGGGACTCCACCCCTGCCCTGGGCAGCTGTGCCAGGGCTGGACAACCCTTTCTAGGAAGGAATTTCCCCTAATTTCCAAGCAAAACCTGGCACAATTTGAGGCCATTTCCTCTCATTCTATCACTCATATCCTGAGAGAAGAGTCAGACCCCCACCTGGCTCCAACTGTTCCACTCTCTGTCAGGAATTCTTTCCCCTCTCCCCCACTTGTAAAATCCTGTTAATTGCACCATTTTTAATGTTCATCATAATTCCTGCAGAAGACAGAATTCTCAATCTAAGTCATATTTTTTACACAGGTTTGTAAAAAGGGAGTAATCAGCTGGAAATCTGGTTGAATTTCTTCAGGAAATGTAGAAAATTAGTAAAATTTAATTAGCACAAAAGGAAGGTCTGAGATACCAGTTTGGCTGTTCCTGGTGTAAGGTGAGGTAGGGGATTTCAGAAGGGAAAAGTGGATTTCTCAACTCTTTTCCTGGAAAACACTGTTTCCAGGTGAGAAAAGTCTCACTGAATATCCAAAGTCTTGTCTATTCCAGCTGTATTAATAACCTCTAGCTACAAAACCCTAATTAAAGGAACTTATTAGGTCTTTTCCAAATGGAGCCAGGGTTGCACAGCCCTGACCACAGGACCTCTGTGTAACTCATGGATTCTCAAACTGGCTTAATCCAGCTCCTTTGGGAGGAAGAGGATCCTGCCAGGTGAAGTCCAGCTCCTCCTAAAGTCATGTAAGGGTCAAAGAAGAGGTTCTTCCCATGGGGAAGTGGTTCCAGAGGTGGTTTTGGAGGAACCTCATCTTAGTGACTTCTTGAGAAATTAATCCAGACTGGAGCCTCCAAGTGGTGTTGCCAGCTGTAGAGTTTGGCTCCCAAATGCTTTTCCATATGTCCCTGGCCACTGAACGTTGGAAAGGTGGAGTCTGGCACAGGGATGGGGAGAGGGATGGATCCTCCCCGTAAGAAGCAAAAGTTGCCCCTGGGATATTCTGGGAATGAGAAAAGAACATGAATGGGAAACAAAGAGCACAGTAGGTGCTCCTTGTGATGTGGTGAAGGGAGGTCAGACACCCCCAAGGACCATCAAGGTCTTGCACCCCTTGAAACACCAAAAGAGGTGGGGAATTATGGGAGAGAATATGAGCAGGGGTAACTGTAATTACGGATGGAGGCTAATGAGATAAGGAGATCTGTCAGCAAAGCTCATGAGTCAGGCAGGATTTGGGGAATTTCACAACTGCCTCACTGGTGTTGGTGTTTATCCGACCTCTCCGGGCAGCCATTAATTGCTGCCTGATTAACCAAACCCAATAACAACATTAGAGACCTACTAATTACCACGGAATGGAGACAAGCTCCTCCAGAACGTATAAAGGAGAACTTCCATACTCCTCTGGAGTAGCTGAGGATCCTTCATTCTCATTTCTCCTCCTGTTTCATCACCTCCTCCACCAGCTCTCCCACCTGGAAGTGCTGCCATGAGACAATATTTCTCCAGATATGGGAATGGGAATTTCAGTTCTTCTTCCACTCACTGTGGGACCACTGGTGGTGGAGATGGGAGATTCGGAGGGTTTGGGTATGGGTATGGGTATGGCAGCAGGAGCCTCCACAACCTTGGAGGGTTTAGGAATGTCTATACTGGTGGAGGCTATGGAGGAGAAGGAGTAAGATACGGGAGATGCCTTGGGTTTGGTGGCTGGAGACAACCTGAGCGGGGCTTTGCTGGAAGAGGATATTTCATAGGAGGTTTTCAGAGTGGTGAAACAGGGCTTGGTGGCACCTACAGAGGAGGTTCAGGCAGGGAGGTGCTCAGAGGAGGCCTTAGAGTAGGGGAACAAGGGGCTGGACAGGGATTGGGACAGGCTGGAGTTCTCCGAGGCATTGAGGAGGTCCATGTCAACACCAACCTGTTGAGGCCAATACAGCTCCAGGTGGACCCCGAGTTCCAGCAAGTGCGCTCAGATGAGAAGGAGCAGATCAAATCTCTCAACAACAAATTTGCATCATTCATCGAGAAGGTGAGTCTTGGTCTCTGTGGTGTTATCTGGGAAGGGGGAGGTATAAGGTAGGTGTGGGTCATGCGGACACTGTCATGTTCCATCTTCTCCCTCCAAAAATCCCAGCAGTGGCTGAATTCCCACAGGCTGTTGTGAAGCTCACAATGGGTCACTGTTAACTTTGCTGTGTGAATCACTTTTTGCCTTGGGATAAAGATCTTGGAGTCATCTTTTGTATCAGGACAATAAAATGCTGGCATGTCACCGGCACATAGACTCACTCCTTTTTTGAGGAAAGGGACTTCTGGGAATATATATTCCTATATTCCAGTGCCTGGAGGTTGTTGATGCCAGCAGGAAAAATGGGTGATGGACATCTTGATGAGTTAGAATTTTTTCTCAAGCAAAGCCAGACCTTGCAAGAACAGGCTGTTTTAGTGCATCTTCTTGCAGGGGTTTGCACTTGCCAGAAATTGCAAGTTAATTCAATTTCTCTGAATTATTAAACAAAACACTTACTGGTTTGGAAGCCCTGCTGTCTATTAGGTGGTCTTTCATGACTTTCCATTTCTCCAGTTCTGTCTTCTCTTCTGCTTCTGCTCAAGCCAGCCACAAAAGCTCTTCCACCCCATTGTATCTGGGAGGTGTCTCTGTTTCTACTTCTCTCTCTTACATGTGGAGACTTCAGGGTTTCCTGTTTCACCAGAGAGGAGGTGTTGGTTACACTGAAGAGGTTTAAGATTCCATAGTCCTGAAAAATTAGCATGTCAGTGACTCTTCTTTCCCTCCTAAACTTTTGGGTGTCCAGGTCACTATTATAGAAATTGTGGAATGATTTGGGTTGGAAGGGACCTTAAAGTTAATCCCATTACTGCCACAGGCAGGGACACCTTCTACTAGACCACTTTTCTCCACACCCCATCCAACCTGGCCTTGGACACCTCCAGGAATGGAGAATCCCCTGGGAAAAACATTCCAGGGCCTCACCACCCTCACAGGGAGGAATTTCTTCCCAATATCTCACCTATTCCTGCCCTCTGGCAGTGGGAAGCCATTCCCTCATGTCTTTTCTCTCCAGTCTCTTGTCCCAAGACAGATTCCCTGGAGCCCCTTTAGGCACTGGAAGGGGCTTCAGGGACTCCTTTCACTTTTCTTCTCCACATGAACATCCCCAGCTCTAACAGCCCATCTCCTTGGCAGAGATGCCAACTGGAGGAATACTGCCCCTCCGGATCTGTTTTCCCTTCCAGGTTCAATGTCTGGAGCGACAGAATCAGGCACTCTTGGCCAAGTGGGAACTTCTGCAGCAGCAAAGCTCTGGCCCTGAGGAAAGCAGGAACATCAACAACTTCTTCAAGTCCTACATCACCAACCTGCAGCGGCAGCTTGAGACACTCCAGAGCCAGAAGGAGCAGCTGGATCCTGAAGCCTACAACATGCTCCAGCTTGTTGAGGATTATAAAAACAGGTGAATAGTCACAAATCTGGGAAAGCAGGTGCTGGAATTTTCCCAGCTGATGCTCATTGTGCCCTTATAAAAGCTCAGCTTTGCATCTGCAAGAGTTTGGGTTTTCTTAGCCCTGCTCTGCTGAAGGTGCATTACAGGGCTTGACTTTGATGATGGAAGAGTTTGGTAAGAGTTGAAATGAGAGGAAAATCAAAATTTATTATGATCTCTCCCATCATTTTTCCTTCCCAGACTCCTATTCTTTCTCCCCCTAGCAGTGAGCGACCCAGGATTCCATTTGCAGGACCCTGGTGGGGAGGGACAGAGCTGAGCTTGGGGTTAAGTTGGGGAGAGTTGTCACCTTCTCTGGCTTAGATAATTTATGTCTACCCACAGCGCTGAGAAGTGGAAAGCTTAGTTCAGAATTACTAAATTTAGGACTGATTAGTACTGACCCCATTTTTTGGGCTGTTTTAGTACCTCTCTTTGAAGAGGGTTTGCACTTGCCAGAAATTGCAATTAAAGTAAAATGAAAATTCAACACATTCAGTCTTTGGATGATTCTGTTGTTTAATGGTCCACTTGGCTTAAAAATTAAGACAAACAATTAAAGATAATGGATAGATTAATTAAATAGATTAATTAATAATAGATAATAGATGATAGATAATAATTTACCTCCTTATGTACCCCAGATTTGAGGATGAGATCAACAAACGCATGTCCATGGAGGAAGAATTTGTGGAGCTTAAAAAGGTGAATAAACCCAACACCCTGAGCAAAATCAAAGCCTTGGAAATAAAACAATATCTGGGTGGTTAACAAGGTTCTCAAAAGCTGAAGTCTTTACTGAACTTTGTCTAATTTTAACCAAAGTAACTGAAAACCAGAACAAGACTGAAGAGGAATTATTTCCTCTAGAGAATGAACTGGCCCTTTGTAGGACCTTTGCTGTTTTTTCCCTATTCACTCAATCCCAGTCCAGGTAGAATATTGTTATTATGTTAAGTAATGTCTGTAGATGTCTTAGAAGAATAAAACTGTCTGTGAAGAGAAAATTTAGGCAACTTTTTACTAGAAATATGAATAAAAATGGTATTTTCCCATTTCTCATGTTCCCCAGGAACAATATACTGCTGCAGTTGGGGTACTCATTTCCCAGCAAATTTTTTCATCTTAAATGCTTTCCTTTTGTTCCCATTGCTTTTCAAATGAAATCTGAGATCTCTATGCCATTATTTGATCCCAGGAATGAAGGTTTTATAGAAATATCACAAGAATTGCACTTCAGTGGAGCATTTGGATCAAAAAAATACAAATATTCCAATGGGTTTTGGTTTTTTTTGCAGGAACTGGATAGTGCCTACATGGGAAAAATGGAGTTTGATGTCCGAGTGGATATCCTGAGGCAGGAGCTGGAATTCCTTCGGTGTTTATATGAAGCTGTGAGTGATTAAAATCTTACCCTCAGGACTTGAAGGACATGTCTTCTAGAAATTCCCAGAAATTTTGCTTGGGTGGGATTTTTTGGCTTGGAGAATAAATTATCCTTGGACTTTCATGAGTGAAACGGGGTATGGTGTGTCCTGAAGGCTGGAAGACCTTGAAAATTGCAGGTGGTAGGGGCACAGTGGTTCCTGGGGGCGCCAGGTGGAGAAATTCCAGTGGGAAATTGGCCACAAGGTCCCAGTTTTTCCGGGACTGACCTGGACTGACCACAATGACTGTTAAAATCCCTAACTTGTTTTTCCATGCAGGAGCTGTCCCAGCTGCAAACGGTTGTTGGGAACACTGATATTATTCTGTCCATGGACAACCACAGGGACCTGAACATGGAAGGAATCATTGAGGACGTCAGGCAGGAATATGAGGGGATGGCCCACAGGAGCACAGCCGAAGTGGATGCCATGTACCAGCGCAGGGTGAGTGGATACCATGAAAACAGGAGCACAAATCTCCTCATTGGAAAAGAAATTAAATATGTGTTGTGTCCTCTTCCCATCAGTACCAGGACCTGCAGAACATGTGGGTGAATCAACGAGAGCAGCTGAGGAACAGTCACCAGGAAATCCAGGAACTTGCCAGGCAGATCCAAAGACTCCAACCAGAAATTGAAATTGCAAGGAAGAGGGTAAAGCTGATACTTTCCAGAAAGATTAAATTGTTTAAGTCCCTTTTCCATGGGATCTCAATGCAGTATATGGCAGCCAATCATTTGGAGGCAAACTTAGGGATGAAATTTTCTCTTCCCAATGAAGCAGATTTAGATTTTTGGGATCTATATTGGGGTTTAATTGTGTTAATTTACCCAGTCTAATATATTCTTGGTGTTCTGTCACTGAGGAAAGCCTTTTGATTTCCAAGGAATTCTAGGAGGGTGTGAAAAATAAGGGATTTTGGGGGTTTTCCTGTGCTGGTCTAGGAGTTGGACCAGATGATTCTTGTGGCTCCCTCCTGACTATAGATATTCCATGATTCTGTTATAAAATCCTCCCCACAGATGGGACATGGTCATATTCCCTTTTTTCCCTCTGCAGAATTTCAGCCTCCAGGACTCCATTAAAGATGCTGAGCACTATGGGAGCTTGGCCATCAGGGACAGCCAGGAAAAGCTCCAGAAGCTGGAAAATGCTCTCCAACAGGCCAAGGATGACCTTTCTCAACTTGTCCATGATTACCAGGAGCTCCTGAATGTGAAGCTGGGCTTGGACATTGAGATCGCCATGTATCGATCACTCCTTGAGGAGGAGGAGAACAGGTGGGGGCAAAATCCATGCTGGAAGAAACACCCAGACAAAGTAGCATGTCCATGGATCTGTCACTGGGATCTCTGGCGTGGACTGGGACTGGGAGGAATCGCCTTTCTGCAGATAATTGATAAATGGGTTTAAATTCAGGTTAAACATGAATTTTAATTCTGATTTTATTGGCTGCTTTACCTCAATGTAATTTTTCCTCCACAGGATCCAGGAAGGATCACCGGCCACGATATGTGAGTATCCCAAGGATTTTCACAGGTTTTTTTAATGGAAACTGTTCGGACTTTGTGATCTTGACATCATTGGAACTACCAATCCCAGTTCCCATCTTAATTCAGGAAAGGATGCAAAGGGGAATTTGTGAAAACATGTTAATATAACATCTGGCTTTAGAATCATTGGCTAATATCTAATAAATTTGGAGGACATGGGAAACACCACATTTAACCCATAGGTCTGTTTGATTGCAGGGCAGAAGGGAAGGAAATAAAAACTAGTCCTAAAATTTGTGGAAAAGTTAAGGAAGCTGAAGGAGAGAGAAACATAATCTTGGCCTCTGCAAATGCTGGGCTGCACTGAGTGTTCATGTGTGGAGTAAGACATACATTGTGTTTTTAAAAAAGTTAAAACCAAGAAAAATGATAAAATATTCCATAGGCTGATCTCTGCTAAGGGAGATTCTTGTTGGGCACCTTCAAAAATAAGTCCATGACCACCAAGGTAGGAAGGATGACATTTAAACCAGCCCTGCTCAGAATTTTTTGGGGTAAAAATAAGAAATTGAACCTAATTTCCATTTCTTGCAGGTATCATTGACCACGACAGCAGAGCTCCTGGGGTATTTGGAGGCATAAAAAGTGTGAAGGGGAGAATGAGCTCTGATGGTACCAGTGGGACCAGAATGAAAGGGTTAATCTCTGGAGGGGGAAAAGGTGGAAGCTCTGGAGGGGGTGGATCCAGCTCTGGTGGAGGTGGGTCAAGTTATGGAGGTGGAAAAGGTTCAGGATATGGGGGAGGAGGAAGCTCAGGTGGGGGAAGCTCCATGACAAAGGGTGGCAGCTGCTCTGGAGGATGGGGGTCCAGCTCTGGTGGAGGTGGGTCAAGTTATGGAGGTGGAAAAGGCTCAGGATATGGAGGAGGAAGTTCTGGCAGTGGAGGCTCCATCTGTGGAGGAGGAGGAAGTTCTGGCAGTGGAGGCTCCATGTCCAAGGGGAGCAGCTGCTCTGGAGGTGGAGGATCTAGCTCTGGTGGAGGTGGGTCAAGTTATGGAGGTGGAAAAGGCTCAGGATATGGGGGAGGATCCATCTCTGGTGGAGGTGGGTCAAGTTATGGAGGTGGAAAAGGTTCAGGATATGGAGGAGGAAGCTCTGGCAGTGGAGGCTCCATGTCCAAGGGGAGCAGCTGCTCTGGAGGTGGAGGATCTAGCTCTGGTGGAGGTGGGTCATGTTATGGAGGTGGAAAAGGCTCAGGATATGGGGGAGGATCCATCTCTGGTGGAGATGGGTCAAGTTATGGAGGTGGAAAAGGTTCAGGATATGGAGGAGGAAGCTCTGGCAGTGGAGGCTCCATGTCCAAGGGGAGCAGCTGCTCTGGAGGTGGAGGATCTAGTTCTGGTGGAGGTGGGTCAAGTTATGGAGGTGGAAAAGGCTCAGGATATGGTGGGGGAAGCTCTGGCAGTGGAGGCTCCATCTGTGGAGGAGGAGGAAGTTCTGGCAGTGGAGGCTCCATGTCCAAGGGGAGCAGCTGCTCTGGAGGTGGAGGATCTAGCTCTGGTGGAGGTGGGTCAAGTTATGGAGGTGGAAAAGGCTCAGGATATGGGGGAGGATCCATCTCTGGTGGAGGTGGGTCAAGTTATGGAGGTGGAAAAGGTTCAGGATATGGAGGAGGAAGCTCTGGCAGTGGAGGCTCCATGTCCAAGGGGAGCAGCTGCTCTGGAGGTGGAGGATCTAGTTCTGGTGGAGGTGGGTCAAGTTATGGAGGTGGAAAAGGCTCAGGATATGGTGGGGGAAGCTCTGGCAGTGGAGGCTCCATCTGTGGAGGAGGAGGAAGTTCTGGCAGTGGAGGCTCCATGTCCAAGGGGTGCAGCTGCTCTGGAGGTGGAGGATCTAGCTCTGGTGGAGGTGGTGGGTCCATTTCTGGTGGAGGGAAAGGTTCAGGATCCGGAGGGGGTGGATCCAGTTCAGGTAGTGGAGGGTCCATATCCAAGGGTAGTAGCATCTCTGGAGGTGGAGGATCCAGTTCTGGTGGTGGTGGGTCGAGCTGTAGAGAAGGGAAAGGATCAGGATATGGGGGGGGAAGTTCAGGGAATGGAGGTTCCATGTCTGGAAGTGGTCAGGGCTCTGGTGGTTATGGATCTGGCTCCAGCAGTGGGAGATGCAGCCCCCACAGTGGCGGGATGAGCTCAGGAGGAGGAAGCAGCTGTGGCATGAGAGGGTCCACCTCCAGAGGTGAAGGACAGAGAAGTTCTTGTCACAGAGGCTCCATGTCTTCAGGTGGCCAGAGCTCTGGTGGCTATGGATCCAGCTCTGGCAGTGGCAGATGCAGCCCCCACAGTGGGGGAATGAGCTCTGGAGGTGGGAGTAGCTGTGGGAGGAGAGGGTCCGTATCTGGATGTGGAGCACAGGGAAGTTCATGTCATGAAGGCTCCATGTCTGGAGGTGGACAGAGTTCTGGAGGTTATGGAGCAGGCTCTGGGAGTGGCAGCTGCAGCACACACAGTGAAGGCATGAGCTGTGGAGCTGGGAGCAGCTCTAGCAGGAGACGGTCCATATCTGGAGATGGAGCACAGGGAAGTTCATGTCATGGAGGCTCCATGTCTGGAGGTGGACAGAGCTCTGGAGGATTTGGATCAGGCTCAGGGAGTGGTGGGAACAGTTCTGGGGGAGGAATGAGTCCTGGGTATGGAGGAAGCTCAGGCAGTGGAGGACTGAGCTCTGGCAGTTGCATTGGTGGTGGAGAAGGAGGCTCAGGGTATGGAGGAAGCTCAGGTAGGAGAGGCTCCATCTCTGGAGGTCATGGGGGATCCAATTATGGCAGTGGTGGTTGCATTAGTGGAGGAGAAGGAGGCTCAGGGTATGGAGGGAGCTCAGGATATGGAGGTGGCTCTGGCAGGAGAGGTTCCATCTCTGGAGGTGGAGGAGGAAGCTCAGGTCATGGAGGATCCAACTACGGCAGTGGTGGTTGCATTGGTGGTGGAGAGGGAGGCTCAGGGTACGGAGGAAGCACAGGTAGGAGAGGCTCCATCTCTGGAGGTCATGGGGGATCCACTTATGGCAGTGGTGGTTGCATTGGTGGAGGAGAAGGAGGCTCAGGGTATGGAGGGAGCTCAGGATATGGAGGTGGCTTGAGCAGGAGAGGTTCCATTTCTGGAGGAGGAGGAGGAAGCTCAGGTCATGGAGGATCCAACTATGGCAGTGGTGGTTGCATTGGTGGTGGAGAAGAAGGCTCAGGGTATGGAGAAAGCTCAGGAAGGAGAGGTTCCATCTCTGGTGGTGGTCACAGCTCTGGAGGGCTGGGATCGGGCTCTGGCAGTGGAGGGAGCAGTTCTGGAGGAGGAATCAGTTCTGGGTATGAAGGGAGCTCAGGTAGGAGAGGCTCCATGTCTGGAGGTGGTCACAGCTCTGGTGGATATGGATCAGGCTCTGGCAGTGGCAGTTGCAGCCCCCACAGTGGGGGAATGAGCTCTGGTAGTGGTGGGAGCAGCTCTGGCAGGAGAGGCTCCATCTCTGGAGGTCATGGGGGATCCACTTATGGCAGTGGTGGCTGTGTTGGTGGAGAAGGAGGCTCAGGGTATGGAGGGAGTTCAGGATATGGAGGTGGCTCTGGCAGGAGAGGTTCCATCTCTGGAGGTGGTCACAGCTCTGGAGGGCTGGGATCGGGCTCTGGCAGTGGAGGGAGCAGTTCTGGAGGAGGAATCAGTTCTGGGTATGAAGGGAGCTCAGGTAGGAGAGGCTCCATGTCTGGAGGTGGTCACAGCTCTGGCGGATATGGATCAGGCTCTGGCAGTGGCAGTTGCAGCCCCCACAGTGGGGGAATGAGCTCTGGTAGTGGTGGGAGCAGCTCAGGCAGGAGAGGCTCCATCTCTGGAGGTCATGGGGGATCCACTTATGGCAGTGGTGGCTGTGTTGGTGGAGAAGGAGGCTCAGGGTGTGGAGGAAGTTCAGGATATGGAGGTGGCTCTGGCAGGAGAGGTTCCATCTCTGGAGGTGGTCACAGCTCTGGAGGGCTGGGATCGGGCTCTGGCAGTGGAGGGAGCAGTTCTGGAGGAGGAATCAGCTCAGGGTATGGAGGGAGCTCAGGTAGGAGAGGCTCCATCTCTGGAGGTGGTCACAGCTCTGGTGGATATGGATCAGGCTCTGGCAGTGGCAGTTGCAGCCCCCACAGTGGGGGAATGAGCTCTGGTAGTGGTGGGAGCAGCTCTGGCAGGAGAGGCTCCATCTCTGGAGGTCATGGGGGATCCACTTATGGCAGTGGTGGCTGTGTTGGTGGAGAAGGAGGCTCAGGGTATGGAGGGAGCTCAGGATATGGAGGTGGCTCTGGCAGGAGAGGTTCCATCTCTGGAGGTGGAGGAATGAGCTCAGGTCATGGAGGATCCAACTATGGCAGTGGTGGTTGCATTGGTGGTGGAGAAGGAGGCTCAGGGTATGGAGAAAGCTCAGGAAGGAGAGGTTCCATCTCTGGTGGTGGTCACAGCTCTGGAGGGCTGGGATCGGGCTCTGGCAGTGGAGGGAGCAGTTCTGGAGGAGGAATCAGTTCTGGGTATGGAGGGAGCTCAGGTAGGAGAGGCTCCATGTCTGGAGGTGGTCACAGCTCTGGTGGATATGGATCAGGCTCTGGCAGTGGCAGTTGCAGCCCCCACAGTGGGGGAATGAGCTCTGGTAGTGGTGGGAGCAGCTCTGGCAGGAGAGGCTCCATCTCTGGAGGTCATGGGGGATCCACTTATGGCAGTGGTGGCTGTGTTGGTGGAGAAGGAGGCTCAGGGTATGGAGGGAGCTCAGGATATGGAGGTGGCTCTGGCAGGAGAGGTTCCATCTCTGGAGGTGGTCACAGCTCTGGAGGGCTGGGATCGGGCTCTGGCAGTGGAGGGAGCAGTTCTGGGGGAGGAATGAGCTCAGGGTATGGAGGGAGCTCAGGCAGTGGAGGACTGAGCTCTGGCGGTTGCATTGGTGGTGGAGAAGGAGGCTCAGGGTATGGAGGAAGCTCAGGTAGGAGAGGCTCCATCTCTGAAGGTGGCTCGA